TGTCATGGGTTCTGAAAGGACAGTTTCTGCAGGGAGTGGGGTTTGGAAGAGGTAACCTGATCTCCTTCTAAAACTCACCACTTAGCACCTTATCCCTGTTTACCTTTGGCATAAGAGAGACTGAATGAATGAACATGAATAAACAAGATAGGTTTGATTATGTATTCATTTATTTATTCTGAGACACTCAGTTGTCAGAACTAGAGTGCTACAGCCTAGCTCACAGTAAACTCAAACTCCTGGGTTCAAGCAATCCTCCTGCCTCAGCCTCCCTAGTAGCTAGGACTACAGGTGCCCACCCCCACACCCAGCTAGTTTTTACATTTCTAGGAGAGAGAGGGTCATGTTCTTGCTCAGGCTGGTTTGGAATTCCTGTGCTCAAGCCTTGGCCTCCCGCAGTGCTAAGATTACAAGTAGGAGCCACAGTGCCCAGCCTAGAGCTATATATTTTAAAATATTATTTTAAATAAGATTTAAAATGTGAAGATGCTGTTCTTCACATAATGAGATCAGAACAAGTTTGAGGCCAATGAGGCTTTCCATTTTACTGTTTTAACAATTTGTAACACAGTGCTATCATCAGTGCTGAAACTCTCTTATTCCGATTAGAAAATCACAATAGACAGTATCTTAACAAATTCCCTAGAAATTCACTGTACTTTACTATTCTTGGAAAAGAAAAAAGAGATATTTTAATTGTTTGGGTCTCTTTCCTAACTGACCTCCTTTGATTTTAAGGCTTGTCGTCTGAATCCTGCATTGGCAGATGAACTTCACTCTTTACTTATTTGTCAGAGAATTTAGACCACAGCACATTGCAACAAAGACCATCGATCCTAGCACCGTACAGTGTATGTATGTTACAGCAGCCATGTCTGATTGTTTGCATCCCTAGTTACATGATCCTGGGTATTTTACACATGACGTGTTACCTTTGTTCTTGAATTTGTATGCTGTAATTTATGCAGCTTGAAACCTAGATATAGGATCAGATTGCTGGAAGAATCCCAAAGGTCTACCTCTTAGCCTTTAGACTGGCCTACACCATTTGAAATATGAAACCATTCTATAAAGCCAGTATCTTTTCCCTTTCTTGAGTGTCTGAAAAGATTTAGTACAGTTTTTTTAGGTTAAATAAGTTCAGAAGTAGAAATGCTACAACTTATTTAAAACCATCATTTGAAAGTTTAAATCTTTATAAATTTTCATTAACAAAATTTTTAATTTTAAAGCTAAATGAGGGCCAAAGAAATTTAAAGAGTTTAAAACTTCAAATGATTAACTATGTGTAACAGTCCTACCTCTAAAGTTATTAAAACTAAAACTGCACTAGATCTTTTAGGATATCCTTTTAAAAGATTGTTATAAATTTATTACATAAAATGTTCAAAACAGTAGATAACAGATAATTACTTTAGAATCTTACCCCTCCAAATCTTCCCTCAGACATCTTAATGAGTAAAACAATTGCTGTATTCCTGATGAATATTCATAAGATAACAAATTAAAGCAAGATGTTTTAGATATGCTTCAATGCAAGAAAGTTGTGGAAAACCCCTCAAATCATCTAATAGTACAAGAACTGTAACTACATATTGTTTAAAAATTAAATTAGCAAAAGGCTTTCCTTATATTACATCTATGAAGAAAAAAGCTAACAGTAAAAATAGTAAGAATCTCATGTGTAAGATTATGTAAGTTTATACACTTGTGAAAGAGATATCTTAACTATCCTTTGTAAGCATGCTAAACTAATGGGGCTTTATTTTAGGAATTACAACCATCATTTCTGACAATGAATTTAACACAGTAACTGCCATGTGAATTATTTTTAACTTAAGTTTGTTTTGAGCTCAGGGCCTCATGAAGCATGTATAACTTACAACTCTTACTGAACTATTTTGATATGTAATAAAAAACATTTTATTTTCCTAGTGTGTGCAGTTAATATGTAGGTTACAGTCACTAAAGAACTGTTACATATGGAAGAAAATTATTTGCTGTTTTTAGGTCCTGGTTTGTTTCAACACTCAGGTTTCAAATATCTTCAAAAATAGTCATTTTCTTTTGCCTTAAATCTCTTAAAAATGTTTAAACTATCCCTGAAAACTAAAATCACTACTAAAGACTCTATATTCTCCCCTAGTAAAACTGTTCAGTGTCTCAAACCTCAATGCAAAATTTCATAATACTAGCCGGGTGAGGTAGCTCGCACCTATAATCCCAGCACTCTGGTACTCAAGACCAGCCTGAGGAAGACTCATCTCTACTAAAAGTAGAAAAATTACCTGGGCAGGGTAGCAAATGCCCATTGTCTCAGCTACATAGGAGGCTGAGGCAGGAAGATCTCTCAAGCCCAGGAGTTTGAGGCTGCTGTAAACTATGATGCCATGGTACTCTGTCGCCCAGGCTAGAGCGAGACTCTCAGTCTCAAGGAAAAAAAAAAAAAAGATTTCATAATACCCAATTTAAATCTTTCTATAATATAAGCCCACTTACTTTGCCTGAGTTTTCTTAATACCATCCATATAACACTTTCAACTATTTGAAGATCCAGATTTGCAACCAGCATTCTCTTCTCCATCCTTAATCCAGTTCCAAAAGCCTTTAAGAATTTTAAGGAAAACAAAGGAGTGATCCAAAGTAAAGACCAGTTTTTAAACTTGGCATTAAAACAGTCTCAGAAATGGGCAGTGCCTGTGGCTCAAAGGAGTAGGGCACCATCCCTATATACCGGAGGTGGTGGGTTCAAACCCAGCCCCAGCCAAAAAACTGAAGAAAACAAACAAAACAAAACAAAAACATGTCTCAGAAATCATAACTTAAGAATTTGACATGTGCCATATATGTTAATGTGCTATGCCTTAATATCTTCAGTGAATCAACACAGAAATAAGATTTCGGTTTCCTCCAGTTGCCATAAACTGATACCCAGGCCTGACCTGTGAGTGGAGTTAGTCTTTAACCCCCAGGTGAATTGAGACTCTTGGATTACTCTTAAGCTGCTATCTCATAAAAAAAGGAAAATTATCATAAATATTGAGTCAAAGTAATATTCTTCCTCATTTGCATTATAAATGATAGTACAGAATTGTGCAGAAGATGGACATTTCCAGTACCTGTGTTACGATGAATTCTCAGGGCTTGACATCTTCACATTTCTTGTCTTTCCTGAATGTATTTTATGCCCTTGGAAGGAGAAATGTTACCCATATAAATAGCCAACTTTGAGTTTTTCTGAAGTGTCAAATATCACAGTGGTTTGAAAAAAGCTCCAACTACAAGAATCTTGAAGATAAAAATTGGTTCGCTAATTGTTAATAATTATTATCATGAACTTGGCAGGTATCAGTAACATAACCTATACCACTCTGTACACACATGGAGGGTGCCAAAAAACATATACACATTTTAAGAAAGGAA